TAGTAGCACAGCCTGGCGACGCGAAAGCTTTGTTTCTAGTTAAACGGTCGAGTCATCACCCCCCGAGTCCCATGTATTTACTCCGAAAAGCACGTACAATATTCAGTTTATCTAAAAAAATTTGTTTCATTCCCCCCCCCCAATTTCAAGATACTGTATTGAGGTACCTTAATTAATCCCCCTATAATATAATATAACCCGTATCATACAGGTGACATTGATAGCTAGTCTGACACAATTTTATTGGTTTATTTAATTCTTTGCACGAAAGAGTCTGTGGTAATTTTACGTCGAACCAAGTTTTAAAAAAAAATATTATTTAATTTATTTTAGTCTTTTTTCCGAGTTCATACAGAGAACAATATATATAAATATCGCTTTTTTTTTAATGTAAAGGCTGTTATCAAAACTAGGTAAAATCCGACATGGAAGAGCATAAGTTTTAATGCCAATGAACACTACGCTGCTTTATGTAGATGGGAAATCATGGCCAGTCATGTCATATTTGCCACTTATTTTGCGATTTGTTTAAATATTTAACAAAATGTGACATTTTTGCAAAATGTGCCAGATGAACGAGTTTTTAAAACGATGACTTTGCAATTCAAGTAATTCGCATACACCAATGTAGCCGCCATATTTATTTTGACCCAACTCTACCTGTACGACTACAGTTGGGAGTGTATATTTAAGCAATAACCCCCACGCCGAAGGCGGGTATACCACGAGATATTGCACACTTCACGACATATATGCACGAGCCGCAGGTGGTATCAAGTGGTATACCCGCCTTCAGCGAGGGGTTATTGCTATTATATTATAGCAGTATATTGACAATTCGATAAAACTATAAACCAAAAATTGTCATTCCAGCTCAGCAGCGAATCAGCGACGAACTTACATTTAGATGACAATTTCGGTTTCAAATACCCGGGAAAGTGTTCTATGTTCTTGGTGTAATTAGGTGTTCGTATTTCAGGGATTTTTCCACACAAAAACGCCAAATTCGACCGAATTTTGTTATCTGTTGGCTTAATATTACCCCCAACGAATAGTATTTTTATGAAAGATTGGTATTTTTGTCCAGATTTGTAGGAATCTGAAAAACGCGTTGCACAACTTGTCTCTTATTTAGTTTCATGCTGCATTCAAGATGGCGGCCCCCATAGAGTACATATCGTTTTTATTTTATCATCACGTGTGCGCCAGCTGACTGTGCAGCCAATAAATCATTATTTGCATGAGCACATTTTGTGTTTAGACCAATCAAATCGATGGATTAACACCACCAATATTATACTGGTATAATATAATTGTCAATATACTATATTACCTACACTTATGTATCTGATGAAATGACCAATAATAATGAAGTCAATGTAAAAACAAATACATTCAACAGGCCTACTGATGAACATGGACAGTGATGCATGAAATTGTCTTGTTATAATGGATCTTTGTTTTTATTCGAGCAAAAACGTGTCTATACACATGGCAGTTGTCTTCGTAACTTTCATCACAAACTAGTGTCGAGTTCACAATTCGTATTGCTGTCTACACTGAAAGCATATAAAGGAATTCATAAATAGATGTATTGTAATGTAGTATTATATGGCTACGTGGTTGTAAATATCTCAGGCTAAATTAATAAATGACATCCACTATCACAATTCCAAATTATTCGAAAAATCTGGGTCTTATTGTAGTGTTCTGAAAATAGCAAAATTTTAATAATATTTGGTAAATTTTCTCATACGGTACTGTAACACACATCAGCAATTCACTCACCTCGGTCTAAGAGACATCATGACTCTGTATTCATTGCGGTGAAATTGAACACTTTCCTCAGATCTGCTCTTCTTGATTTTTATATTATTTGTTGCACTAGAGATAAAATGAAAAACATGTTTTATACATATTTAGGTGTTATATTGATTTATATCCTCAAAAATGCCCTGTTATGTCGTCAGTATTACTTACTGGACTTTCAGTGGCTGAACCACATGAAGTCCGTTCAAGTTGTGTGATCTGGCAACCGTGATCACTTGAATGTTCAAACTATGTTAACTATATTTTACTGGGTTAGAAACTGTGTGTCAGTGAGACTGCCCGCTTATAGATGTGGTGTTCAGACACAGTAATAGGAGTAGTGCCCGGGAAGGGGGGGGGGTGTCTTCTCCCATAGAAAAGCCACACGAGCCTGAGTACCACGAGTATGTGCCGCCTGACTTTAGTATCCTTTTCATACCAGTTATAAAAGTGAGCATATATATATGTTGACACGTTTATGGTGTAGATGTGAGATTTTATTTTATTTTTAAATGTAAAAGCTTGGAGGAATCTTCATTTTTTTAAAAAAACGTTTGAAACTGTTAATGGGGAGCTGTCGTAGCCTGTCTCTTGTTTCCCAACAGATAGTGCCGTACGTATTTTGAGCTCTGACCAGTTCTATATATCTACATATGACATCATCGTGTGACACGGCGCATGCATTTTAGAATAATGAAATCAGACTAACATGTAACCACTAAAAACAGTGTTGTGCGTGGATGGAGTCGAAAACAATTGGACCACACCCCTACCAAGTTGTCCCAAAAGACCCCCCCCCCCGTACAGACATAGTTATATATCTAAATACATATTTATTTGTTTGTGCTGTGTTAAATCGTAGTTATGTGGGCAGTTTTAATCCATCTCGACTACCTTGTCCCAGGAAAAGAGTGAAAGATTTTATCTTCGTCACACTCATAAGTTGTTATGACTGGCGAGTTCTCGTCAGTACGTGTCGCTATCTCCTTCATGTAAGTCAACCATATACCGTATACCGGTATATAATCCTTCCGTTGAGATTAAATATCCAGCCAAAATATGCATAGCTCGTACATTTCGTTCACTATAAATTGATCACGACAACTTATGGGAATATTTTATTTAACAAAAAAAAAATATACGTGGACGTCAACGTTACCTTGCCCAGTAAACTACAATGCATGCTACCACAAAGATAATGCTTGGTGCCAATATCATAGGAATAACAACAGCAAGAATTAGTTCTCTTCTTGCTGGCCTCGAGTATTCCTTAGCGAAATTATACACAACAGTCTTGGCAGTAGTGTTAATATCTAGATTAAAACAAATCATCAGAAGTTGATACAACAACACTAACAGATCTATTGACCACTCTCAATCTCATGAACGAAAATATACAACATGTCAACTTTAATTAATTTGGTTTTTCGACATTTCTGTACACGACTATGTACTCCAACTATGTTCTCCAGTTTGAACATTATCGTTATGGAGACCTGTAGTTGTGAAGGGACACAGTTATACTACCGTTAATATGAAACACCGCATGCATCACATTTTGATAGCAGCTATGAGGCATTCCGTTCATAACATCTCACTCCACTGATATCCAGTTACGATGCTAGTGATATATCATTTCGGTCAGCTACTCATTGATTTTATTGGTTGTTTGAAAATGCCGTCAAAGTCAGTCGCCTCGAGAGTGCGTGATTATGTAGACTCCTTTCGCAAAGGTATCGAATGGGCCAATGGACAAAAGGTATTCAATTTCCCACAGTGCCATAGCACTTTCGGATTCTATTTTGCACTCGATTGTGTGTTCACCTGTGACTCGTACACAAGTTGGCTGTCTGTGTTTGACCCATACTTTGGAAAACTGTGATATGTTAAACTAAACTATGATAACAGCGAGAAATAACTGAAAAAAAACTGCTTGTACCTAGCAAAGCGTCGTGTGTCGGCAGAGGGCGCTATTACACATTGGCGCGGTGCAAACGTTCTTTATGGAGGCACTCGAACTTTTCTCGAAAAGTGTTCGAATAAAAACTTTTTCTGCGGGAATCTGCTTAATGAATCGAATTACCTTTCTGGGGACTTAATTGAAAAGTTCGAAAACAATTATTTCAGAGGCGACACGTATGTAAATCAATCATGTTTTGTTTCTCAGTTTCTTGGGTAATTCTGAAATAAAAAAGGGAACGCGCGTGTATTCTATGTTGATTAATGTTGTTTTTGTATTATCTTGCAAAAATGTAGTGACCATTCGGTTGAATTTTATCAATGTTTGAAAGCTGTTTTTTTTATCTATAATTGCCCTTCTGTGCAAAACATCGTACAATGTATGTGATTTGTACAGCAGTACAAACGCGTCACCCATTTCAAGTTCAAAAATCACGTTTATTTGAAGTACTAGGAATTGAATGTGACGCCATTTCAATCTTAAAAGGTCGCTTATTTCAAATTCAAGTTGGTGATTGAATTGAACATAACATTCAATTTGAGTTTTAGCCCAAATTACTCTATATTTAAATATGTCGCCGACAATAAAAGTGAAAGGGAACATACGTACTTGTAGCTATCTCCGTGTCACGCTTGACGACGTTTAGTTCATGATAACTTTCTTCCAGTAGTTGACCCGATCGTCTCTTGAAGGGATTCCTTTTTTTCAGTTTTTCTCGTTTTTCGGCCAAAATGGCCTGCGATAAATCTGGAAGACACAGATGGCATAACTAAGACACTCAGAATAATGAATTTTAATCAGATCGTATTTTAATCAGATGACTTACTTGCGCTGAGATCCTTCCGTCCAATTTGGTATAACCGGTGAGTTAGGTGGGTCCACGACTTCACCAGTCCATCTGTTTCATCCCACTCTCGTAACAACGTAATGCACGGAGTTGTACTCGTAATGTTTTCCCCCGTAGGTTCAACGTTCATAGCAAAACCAGGTATCCACAGTGCTTCGACAAGTCGTCGACATTCGATCGACGAGAGTTCATTTGCGAGCAGTATTAGTTCCCGTTTATTTACCGGTGGTTTTCGTTCTGGTATTACATAGAAAGAAGGGCAGATTGGTATTAGTTTATTGGCGATTGATCGTTAGAAAGTTAGAGGGGATAATGGAATATGGAGAGAGAAAAAAGAAAAGTTACTGGAACTCTGATAAAAGTGACATAAACATCAGTCTTCAATAGGTAATTATGGTGGTCATTAGTTGGTCCAGAATGTACAATAAAATTTCAGGAACAACTCATGTCGCACTGTAATAAATCACAGTTGTCACTAAAGTGGGTTTATTTAGGGTTCGAGTAACGCTGACAAGTTTTCAACTAAAAAGATTTGCATATATTTTCCACGATATTTTAAAATGCTTTGACATTTTAAGGAGGATTGAATAAAAAGGCTGAACTCAAAAATACCACAGAAGGAGAAACACTGATCATCGATAGTGGTGTGTGAAGAGCGCCAGTTGCGCCTAACTACTGAAATCGGTCGTTTTTATTACAACTCTAATATCGTTGTATAATGCTACAATATTTGATACATCCATAATTGGATTTTCATGGGATAATTAACAATTTTTTTTTTTAGAAACAGATACATACACTAGCGGGCATATAAAGAAATGTGTTTTTTTTAATCAAATTTTGAAATAAAAAAATCGCAATCAAGACGTAAAAAAATACGTTGCGGATTTGTACACATGGGGGAGAAGGAACCAATGCGAGAGTGGGTGTATGAATTACTGTGAACCTTCCCAAAATGAAAAAATGGACATGCATCAACAGAAAATAAGCTGTTTTATTAATACATCCACTTCCAGACACTGTAGCCACGTGTTGGTTCTAGTGCCATAACATGCGGGTACACAGCCTACTTTTATAATTTTTGAGAAAGTTGGTCATAAGTCACATGACAGTGTTTATTGGTCTATTAGGTAAAATCATGAAGGTATTGTCCCATGGCACCATGAAATAACATTCTTACACTGACGAATTTTGAGAAACTTGTCCTAATATTTTTCAAAAAACGCTGTTTTTAGAACAATTTCATAGTGTTTTCATTTTTTAAAGCCCAGATTTTTGAAATAATTTCGGACAACAATAAGTACCCCATCATTAACATTATGATTTCTTCAGCCTATGTCACCATGCTACATTTTGCGATATGACATAATGGTAAAATCGTTATAATACTGTCAAATGTAAATTACACTAAATTACAACCATCGTTCTCTGGAAAATTAAGCTGGTGACCCCCAACCTTTTTTAAGTCAATGTCCTTATAATGCCCGGAAGTGCAATTTATTTGAAAATGAATAAATTCTGGGTATTTGCATTCATGAGTAGCTACGCCGGGCACCGGGCTTTGTGGGTTTACACACGTATAATCGTGTTATAGTTCACCACGGCGTTTCCTGACGTCAATTTAGCGTCATGTGAAGAGGTCATTTATGTACGACAGAAGCAGTCGCAAATAAAAAAATCGTATATCAATATCAAATACAAA